CGCAGTAATTGCGATATCGGTTTCGGGCCATCGAATGGATACAAGGACCGAATTAATGTTACAACTGTTATAGATACAGTAAATTCTCCCTAATATTCCCTTAGCTTTGAAAGAAAAATGAATAATTTGGGAAGAGGAGATACGATTATACGACCATCATTATATGTCTCATTTTTATGGTTGCCGATCGTCGACAATGATTAAAACGAGGAGCAATAATCGTATCTCCTCTCTCACATTTCTCCATTTTTATTTACAAACTGAAGAACAATTAAGGAGAATTTACTCTATATCAGTCTTGAGTTATATCAGTTTCGGTTTCAATCTTCGATACTTCTGTAGTTATTATGACTGCGGATCTTTATGCAAAATAAAAATTGTTTAAGTTGAATGAAAGATACATAAGCTTGACGAAAATATCGTTTCCCTTTTGATAATTTTCATAAAATGTACATACTGTACATTGGTCTGCGAAATCTTGTATTTGGCCTAGTCATTGTTGTCACAGACCCATCAAATCCATGAAGTCTAATTATGACTCATGCTTACCGAGAAGATAATAGGCAAAAAGGCGATACTAAGACTGCAAGTAGACAACCCGGGAGCTATATCATTATTAGAAGCGGTGTATAAAAGGTCAAAGCGTGTAGATATTAAATACGGATACGTTTGATAAAAAAAGGAAAGCAGCAAAAAAGGTAATTGTTGCCGTGTATGCTCCTCTTTATGCGAAACAACTTTTTGTTCGAAACATTTTTATATAGAACACGAAGTTTTCAAGAACGCTTAATGTGACGGATGACTCAACGGTCATATGCTATGATATAGACGATATTTAATAATATAACGAACGTAATTAAATACCATACGATATCTAATGTAAACTCGAACCATTTGTTTACTAAAATCCGAAACAATATTTACAGCATAAGTCGAACGTGTTGCGGCACAGTTTACGAGATAACCTAATCGTTCACGACATTACGCAAGCGACAAAAGCGCGACGATATCGTTGCCATTATAAATGAAAATACGGCGGATCATAAGATTGTGAATAATCTACGATAAATATATTTTAGATACTGCAAAAGCAAGCATTAATTTGATAACGACTCTGAAACTGATACGAGGGACCGATAAATAACAGTTTGAAACAGTTAATTTCGAGACCGTTTCAGCCCCTGGTCTCTCGCACCCACCACCGCTACCCTCTCGAATCGCGTGGTGGCCCGACGGTGGCACGATGGTGGCCCGATGGTGGACAAGAGGGTGGAAGAGCCTGACCGTCGCGTCGAGTTGATTCGAGTCGGTAAATTTGTCCGTAACTCGTCGCCCGCTCGCCACGGGTTGCGAGTATTATCGATCGAAGTGGCAACGGGGTCGAGGAAATTTCACGCAAAAATAATAAGCGCAATTACGTAAGCGGCTACGGCGCGACGTGGCGCGGCGTTTCCAGTTGGAAAATTGGTCGGCGACGTTCTCGATTCCGCCGGCGTGACGGGAGGGTCGCGAAACGCGGTCGCGTGTCGTCGAAAGGCACAATGGACGGCTGCCTCGTAATTGCCGGTAATTACTTCCCTGTTATCATCTACCGACAACCTGGAACGCCGCGGAAGCGGCCCTCGAAAGGGCGTCTCTCCCCCCCCCCCCTCTCTCCCTCTCTCTTCTACTCTTTCCCCTCGACCATCTCAGACGTTCCTGTTTTCGAGGAGCGCGTCAACGGAAAAATAGACGGCCAATTCGGGGATGTGGAGGAGATAAACGATCCCGAATGACTCGTCGAGGGTCGTCCGTCCTCTCGAGAAATGGAAAACCTCGTTTGACTTCGCTCGGATCGATACGCGCGTTCTTCCGAAGCGGAGGACCGCGATCTCGGACCGAATGTTGGTCAGCGGCGAATCCACCGTCGCGCTCCCCCCGTTTCACAGCGTTCGAAAGTCGTTCTTTCGAGGGGAACAAAGGGCAGACGCTTCTGACACAGGTTTCGCGCGGAAATATTGCGTGTCTCAGAAAAAACCTGCGAAGCTGCTGCGCTTCCGAACTTCCGTTGTTCCCGACAAGGTGCCAATTGGAAGAGTGCCAAGTAGTCGAGTGTTTCGTAGTACTTAAATCGACGACACGCAACAGATGCCACTTGTTACGTTGTACACTATACCTGGCTGATTTTACGGTATTCGCTTCGATCGGCCGTTCGGTTGTTCGTTCGGACACACGGTCGATCGTGTTTGCTTCGCGGCAGCCGCGAAATAACTTAAAGCGAGGACAACTCGATCGAGAGCGGGAGGATCGAAGGGATTCGATTCGCGTTGGCTTTAGAGATCGGAAAAATCGAATTTCGAATAATCGAGTCTACTTGTTTTAAGAAGGGAGAAGAAAATAGTTCAGCCGGGATTATGTAATATTAAATCTCGATGGTAGTCGGTGATTCTCGAAAGGATTGCTCGAAGAGTTAACCCTTAACCGGACTGCCAATTATTGTCGGTTATTGTTTTAGTAAATATTGCATATTTACAAATTAGTTAGTGCAAGGAAATTTACATTGAAATAGTGCAAATTTGATCACGTAATAGAGAATTAAATGAAACTCAATATGGACGCCCACTTTAATCGTATATTTAGGAATGTTTAATAGTACGTATCCTACCATTGATTTCTATACTAATTTACCATTTTCATTTAGACGAATCATAAATCGTCTGATGTTTTCGCAGTATTCCCGTAATTTATTAATCATCCCTAACCTAGTACAGTAAATTCTCCCTAATCGACGCTCGGATTGTACACAAAATGGACATTTTAGGAAAGAGGAGATACGATTATTCGAGCCTTGCGACTCTTTTTCATAGTTACCGATTGTCAACAACTATAAAAACGGGCTGCAAGATTCGAATAATCGCGTTTCCTCTTCCCTAATTGTCGCTATGTTGGGTACAATCTGAGCGTCAATTAGGGAGAATTTACTTTTATTTATATATTTTTCTTTTCATATATCAGTGTTGCTGTATTGTCTTCTCTTCCCTAAATTGTCTCAATTTTAGGTACAATCTGAGCGTCAATTAGGGAGAATTTACTTTTATTTATATATTTTTCTTTTCATATATCAGTGTTGCTGTATTGTCTTCTCTTCCCTAAATTGTCTCAATTTTAGGTACAATCTGAGCGTCAATTAGGGAGAATTTACTTTTATTTATATATTTTTCTTTTCATATACCAGTGTTGTTGTATTTTATTTATACCGAGTTGCCCCCCGGTATAAATAAAATAAACAAATCAATCAAAAGACTTATTTAAAGTTGCGTGGGCCCGCCGCTGCCACCATAATCCGGTTAAGAGTTAAGCTCTCTCTCTTTCTCGGGAGGGAGGGTCGATGCCGAAAGAAAAGCATTCGAAACCGGCCGATTTAACAGATCCGATAGTTCCAGCGCGAGCTTGATGGACGGTTCCATGGCATTGTTCCTCCGGACGTGTAACTTTCGCAGCTTCCGGTCAAAGAGCTCGAAAAGGTTTAAACTTTCCCGACAGCGAAATACACAGCGTGAAATCGATTTTGTTGCGCCTCGGGGGCCGAGAATTGTAAGTGTAGGGCATTAGGATCGCCAGCGGCCATTACGCTTAGACCAAACGACAACCGGACACGTATCATGCTCGATCGAGATACGGTGCGAAAAAGAAAGACTGGCCTGCGAACGTGCTCGAAATTGATAGACTGTTTGACATATGACCCGCTGATAACCGATAATCGGGGGGAGAGAGAACGTCGGGGGCAAGCCGATTAATTCGCCGCGAGGAAAAAACCAGAAGCAATTACCGCGCGATGCTTGGTACACGTACGTGCATACATGCATGCATACATACATACATACATACATACATACAGCCCCGTGCAAAACTTTCGAGACCGAGATTTTTCGGAAAAGCAACGTCCGCGAGAATTCGGCCGAACTCAAGGATGCGCCGGGCAGAACAATGCCGGACAAACAAGTTGTTTACCATTTATCTCGGTTAAAAATGTTTTGCTTCCACGGACGGGGAAGAAAAAGTCCGTTCGTCCGTAGACTTTTGCGCGCCACTGTATATCGTTAGTCGGGATAATTCGGTGAGGGGCAGGGGGAGGGACGTAAGGTGAAAAGGCGGGGGTCGAATAAAAGAGCCTGCGATAAAGAAAGAAAGCGAAGGATACAGGATGTGGAATATTGAAGATACCGAGAACAAGGCGACGGGTAGGAATAGAGGGCTAAAACGAGGCGACGACGGAGACGGGTGCGGAGAAAGCGAGAGGAAGAGAGAGATAAAGCGAGAGAGAGCGAGAGAGAGAGAGTGAGAAAGGGTAAGAGGGAGGGAAAAAGCAGAGTCTACGAAGCAGAACGAAAGGGGGAAACGGGAATGAGGAAAAGCGGAAAATGGTGGATATCGAGAGGAGGACAAGGGCGTACGGTGGTTGTAATGTTGAATTGGTCGGCAAAGGATAGCTGGACAAGAGGACGCTGACGATGGAGGTGATGGTGGTGGTGGCGGCGGCAGCGGCGGCGGCGGCGGTGGTGGCGGCGGTGGCGGTGGCTGTGGCTGTTGGCAGTGGGGGTGGCAGAGGTGGTAGAGAGAGTGAGAGAGGTGGTGGAAGCAGTCGATGGTGGTGGTAGGTAGCGAAAGGTGGTGGTGGACGGGGTCGAAAAGGGAGGGGAATGGATGTCTTGGTTGTAGCTCGTAGCTCGTAGCAGGAGCAGGAGCAGAAGGGGGTCGAAAGGTATTCTCTGCCGAGGTACGGGAAGAGAAGGCTCCGCCGAGTGGAGCGGAATGGTGCGGAGCGGAGTGGAGCGGCGCGGAGCGGCGCAGCATGGCACGGGGATGGAACAGGATGGTTAGGACCAGTTACGGCTAGGTAGGAGCGAGGGTAAAAGCATCAGGCGGCAGAGGAGGCGTAGGAGAAGCCGAGCGGCCGTAGGGTGGGGGCTGGCTCGCAGGGGTAGCGGTGAATTCTGGGGGTTGGAAGCAGCTGAGTACAGTACGCGAGTAGGTCACACCACGGCGAAGAGCGATAGTTCGCGGTTAGCAAACGGTTCGTTCGTTGGTTCGTTGGATCGTCCGTTCGTCCGTTTTCGTTCGGTTGGACGAGAGAGAACCCATTGCGCTCGTTCGCACCGGGTCCGCGTTCTCTTCGACCACCTTGTTCTTGTTCTCGCGGCATCGAATCGGTCGCGTGGTCGTTTTGCCTTCGCGGAACGGGACGAGCGAAAAAAAAATGGGTGATCGCGCGTCCACGGCCGCGTAACCGACGACCGTCGTCGTCGTCGTCGTCGACCGTCGACCGTCGAATCGGATCGCGTATTTCGCACACGACAAGTAAATTCCCCGTCGGTTCTCTCCGCACGGGGACAACAGCCGTCGTACGAACAGCAAAACGAAAATCGTACGAACCGTTCGGTTGTTGTCAACAGCCTTTTCCGCGACCGAAAGACTGCCGCATCGTCGTAACTCCGGAAAAGATATTCCGTATCTTCGGCATAGGTAAACGATTCGGGCTCGCCAGCCGCGTCCCGAACAGACCGTTTCCCCATCGATCGAAGACACGAACGATCTTTTCTGTGTCCCCGGTTTTTCTTTCCTCGCGCCTCCGGTTTCTCGCTGGCTCGCACGCGTGCATCCGGTTCACCCTCGCCTCGCGCGTTGCTCTACGATACTACTACCACTACTATTACCGATATTTCCTCCTGTTGTTCGGCACGACTTGGCGCGACGGTCCGCGATCCTCGCGCGACCGACGAACCGCCGTTGTTCCCCCTTTGATTCACGAGACAGCGATCGAGAATCCGAGCGTGAATTCAAGCGTGAATTCGAGCGTGTATTCGAGCGCAGAAGGAAGAGTAACCGGGGGATCGAAGGTGGACAAGAGGGCAGGAGAGACGCGCAAACGTCCACGCTCGCTCCGATGAGTTTCATGCTTTCGGGGACGGAGCACGGCGAGCATTCTTGACGTTCGAAAACGCTTTCAAGCTTAAATATATAGTTCGTCTTTGGTGCGGAGAGGAGAGAGAGAGAGAGAGAGGGAGAGAGAGAGAGAGATAGAGAGAGAAGTGAGGAGAGGGCGGGCGAGCGAGAGAAGAGGACAGAAAGAGGCAGACCGAGGAAAAGAGGCTAGACGTCGTCGCGTCGCGTCCGAGAGATCCGTGAATTCGATTCCATTCAACGAACGCAAGCCTTCTTCCCTAGAACAACGAACATGCACGGTGATCACGCACTCGGCGTGCTAACGTTTGCGAAACAGGAGGCAAATTGTTACCGTTGATCCATCGATTTTCCCCCCCACGTACAAAATCCCGTTGTTGAAACTACCACCGTTATTTTTCTATCGATTTTCTTCGAGCGGAAGAGAGAAGCATCTCGAGGGACGCCAGATAGTTTCACGCGTCCCGTCGAGAGAGAGAGAAAAAGAGGGAGCCCTAAAAAGAGAGGGAGTGATAGAGAGACAGAGGGAGAGGGACGAAAATATCGGAGAACGAAAGAGGAAAGATCAGAGATGAAATTGGATTTCAGCTGAAAAGGATCGAGAATCCGGAGGAACGCCGTTATCTTTCGCATCGACCGGCCGGATTAATTCGAAGCGTTTTCTCCGCTCGCGAGGAGAAACGAAGACGCGCCGCGGGTGGAAGGGATAGAAAGAGAGAAAAGAAAGCCACGAGGAGGAAGGAGGGGGGGTCTCGCGAAAGAAGAGAAGCGGAACAGAGCGGGTGAATTACCTGTTTGTACGCGCAAGAGCATCGAACTTATTAACGATTCGAGCGTCTCTCGTTGCGAGTCGGTGGCCGAGTGTGCAAGCACGAGAGGAAACGAACGGAACAACGAGAATATCACCGGTCGCAGAAGCAACGCGATTCCTTGGCCGATATCCTTGGCGAGCCTTGCCAGGAAACACGAGGGACAAGAGCGAATCATGCGATACAACCTGTCGACGAATGCGTTAGCGGCGGTACGACGCATCGAAATCACATAAACGATTAAGAGAGAGAGAAAGAGAGACATAGAGACACACACACACAGAGAGAGAGAGAGAGAGAGAGAGAGAGAGAGAGAGACGAAAAGGCTGCTGATTCGAGGCTCGGCGAACCGATTCGAGGAGACAGAGAGACGGAGAAATTCGTATCGAAACGAAAGAGAGAGAGAGAGAGAGAAGGGTAGTCTGAGAGAGTCGCTCGACGCACGATATACCGATTAAAGGAATTGGAATTGTAGCAGAGGACGCGGGTTCGATCGAACGACTCGGGAATAGCAGTCCGACCGCGACAGGACTCGTCTCTCTCGATCCATCGGATCGAACGCAGGCTCGCACGATTCGCTCCCCGTATCTGTCTAGCTCGGTTCTCGAGGAGAACACGATCGAATATGGAAATCGCAGCCTCTGCAATGTTGGATGGCCTGAAAAATAATCGAATCAGCAAGTTGGCACTGTCGCGGTTCTTGTCGCAGAGTCTGTGAGTAAATTAACCCGGTCGTTGGTCACGAGCACGTAATCGATTCGACGCGATACGAAGTAAAGAGGGTGCTCGCAGGCACCGGCACGTAGCGCGCACTAATTGATTGCTTGGCTTGGTTACTATGCTTCTGCCGACGAATTTGCGTATCATCGTCATTCGTAGACAGTCTCTCGCATATCCGGTTCGCAAAAAAAAAAGTCCGACTCGTTCGATCGCTTGACCCCAACCCCCCGCCCGCCCGCCCCGCAGCCACCCTTCCAGCCACCACGCTCTCTGGCCCTTGCGTCCCTTTGCGACCCTGCACCAATCATCCTTCACGCATCGATCTCGCCGCGGCCCGTTTCTTTCGATCGGACGCGCTCGGATCACGTGCGCGCGTCTTCTTATCGATCCACGGCTGGGAACGGACGAGGAATTCGGGAAGCCGTTCGATTCCGGGACTCGGCGGGGATTGATTCGATCGGTCGGAGGTAGACAGAAAGAAACGAGTCACGAGCGATCGATTCCCCCACGATCCGGAGATCGATCTGTTCTCCGGCCCATTAGCAAGGGGGAAGCTTCGATCCTCGATTAAATCGATCGACCGATCCTCATCTCGTTTGAATGACACTCATGCATATAAATATATATATATTGTATAGAGAGCTTTCGTTGACAACTGCAAGCGCGTAGACTTTTGTTCCGTTGAACCGTGTACTCGCGGCCCGTAGTCGTAGAAGGTAGTGTATTTAGTGGTAGCTAACTCCAGTTATTTCCGTTGGGAAGATGTATGAGGGGAGACGAACCAGGGAAGGGAGAGAGGAAGAAAGAGAAAGAGAGTATGTGTGCGAGAGAGAGAGAGAGAGAGACGTGCCGGGAACTCGGCCCGGAGAAATGAATAATTCGTCGACGAAAGTTTCTATTAATTCGGCGTCAGGCCGTTAATACGCTCGCTCGAGCGGATTCGATAACCGGCGGATAACCACCGTGGGTGGAAAGATCCGTCAGGCTGTCGTTTATCCGGAGAACCCGACAGAGTACCTCGTTGAACCGCCAAGAGAGATTCCGATATACGTAGGCGGCCGACGCGCTCGGTCCGCGCCGGTTTTCAAAGGGAGGAGAGAGACGCGACGCGACGCGACTCCCTCTCGCGCGCTTTGAAAAAACTCTAACTGGAAACGACAGATGGGGCGTCCCTTTAGAAAACCGCGACGAGCGGAGTCGACATTTTTAATCAAGGCCTCGCGATCCCGGGGAAGAAAGAGACAAAGGACTCGTTCGCGGCTACACCGTCGATAAAAGCCCGAATCGAGACGCGCTTGTCTGCTTGTCAGTTTGGTCGACGGTCGGCCCGTCTTGTCGGATGACGCGTGATCGCGCCTGCGCGGCCCTCCGCGTATACACATATATCCGTTTCCCATCCTTTATATTTTTTTCATTTCTTCCCCCCCCCCCCGTTCTCTCGTTCGCTCTCCGTCGTGTTTCCCCACAGTACCGGCGAAGAAGATACGAGTAATTGAAAGGACACCGGGCGGCGTCGATGGCCCAGTTCGTATCATCCCGCTCGGTGGTCCCCCCCGGGCTCTTTAGGAGATCGCGTTGGGAAAAAACGAGACCAGCCGAGGCTGTGGCTAAGCAATTCGGTGTGTG